TAATGGCTGAATAGTATTCCATGGCATACATATATCACAGCTTGTTAATCTATTCCTGCATTGGTGGGCATTTAGGTTGTTTCCACATTTTGACAATTATAAATTGAGCTGAGGTAAACAGTCTAGTTAACATGTCCTTATGATAAAATGAGTTTTTTTCTTCTGGGTAGATAGCAAGCAATAGGATTGCAGAATCAAATGGAAGGTCTAATTTGAGTCTTTTGAGGATACTCTGTACTTCCTTCCAAAAAGGTGGTATTAGTCTGTAGTCCCACCAACAGTTTAGAGAGAAGTGCTCCTTTTTCTCTATATCCACACCAGCATCTTCAGCTTTCAGATTTTGTGATGTGCACTGTTCTCATTGGGGTTAGGTAATGTCTCAAGGTGGTTTTGATTTGCATTTCTCTGATGATCAGGGACAATGAGCATTTTTTCAAATGTTTCTTACCTATTTGTCTGTCTTCATCAGAGAAGGTTCTGCTCACATTTCTTGCCCAGAGGTACAGGGAGTTGTTTACTCTTTTTTGTTGTTGATTAATTAAGTTCTTTGTATATTTTAGCTGTCAACCCTCTGTCAGATTGATACCCCATATCTTTTCCCAGTCTGAAAGTTGGCTTTTTGCTTTCCTTGTTGTGTCCTTAGCTATGTAGAAGCTTTTCAGCTTAATTAAGTCTTGTTTGTTAATATTTGTTGTTGTTGAAATGGCCACTGAAGTCTCTGTAAGATTTTTATCATTTCATGTCTTAGATTTAAGTCTCTTATCCATCTTAAGTCAATTTTCGTAAGTGGTCAAAAGTGTGGGTTGAGTTTCAGTCTGTTCTTCCAGCACCATTTGTTGAATAGGGATTCCTTTCCCCACTGTATGCTTTTCTTTGGTTTCTCAGAGATCAGATGGCAAGTAGAGACTGGTTTCCTTTTGGTTTTCTATTCGGTTCCATATGTCTATGTTTCTGTTTTTTTGCCAATACCATGCTGTTTTGATTACTGTGGACTTGTAATATAGCCTGAAGTCTTGTAGGGTGATGCCTCTGACTTTGTTTTTATTACTAAGAATAGCCTTAGCTATATGGTTTTTTTTCTGCTTCCATACAAAATGAAGAACTATTTTTTCCACTTTTCAAAATATATTGGTGTTTTAATGGAGATTGCATTGAATCTGTAGTTTGCTTTGGGTAAAATAGATATTTTGACTATGTTTATTCTTCTCAGTCAAGAGCATAGTATGTTCTTCCATTTATTAATGTCTTCTACAATTTCTTAGGATTAAGTTATTCTCTTTGAAAAGATCTTTCACTTCTTTTGTTAGTTATATTACTAAGTATTTCATTTTCTTTTAAGCTACTATGAAGGGAATTGTGACTTTGATTTGCTTCTAAACTTGGGTATTATTGGTGTATACAAAAGTTACTGCTTTGTTGACATTGATTTCATACCCTGAGACATTACTATATTTCCTGCTGACTTCCCAGAGTTCTGTTGTATAGTCTCCAGGGTTTTCTAAGTATAGGTCATCTCATCAGCAAAGAGGGAGCATTTGACCTCCTCGGCCCGTTTATATCCTTCTCTTGTCTGATTGCATTGGCTGGAACTTCCAGAACTATATTGAATAAAAGTGAATACTATTGTAGACATTCTTGTCGGTTCCAGTTCTAAGTGGAAAAGCCTTCAGTTTTCACCATTCAGTATGATGCTAGCTGTAGGTTTGTCATAGATGGCCTCAATAAGCTTAAGAAATGTGCCACCTATACTTAAGTGTTCTTGTTATAAAAGGATACTAAATCTTGACAAATACTTTTCTGCCTCTATTCAGGGATTATATGTTCTTTGTTTTTGCTTCTATTGATATGATGCATTACATTTATGGATTTGCATATTTTTTTTCTTTGCTCACATTTAATTTTGATTTTGATTTTTTTATTGTGCACAACACAATATTTATTTCATTTATTTCTTTATTTCTGTTTGCTGCTGTTATTTTATTTTACTGAAAGTGAGAGGGAATTGTGTGGGCTTTTTTCTTTTTTTCTGTAGGCTGCCTTAAGCTTTCTAAATTTGGAACAACTAAGCAAGCTGAAGGGAAAAGGGGGTTTTTCAGAATCACTCGGGAAAGGAAAGGTTGCTTTTGTTAATCATGCCCTACTGTGGGTGATTAACTGCTTGTACAATTATGTTTTACTTTTCATTAATTGTGCTTAAGGCTTTAATTAAATTTGGGGTTCCCTTCTTAGAGCAGCTCATAATGACGGAGATGCACTGGATGATGTCACTGCAGTCGTTGAACACACGGCGGATGTTCTCAGGGTCCACAGAGCAGGTGAAGTGAGCGTAGCAGTAGTGGCGCCCATCTCCACTGGCAGTGCTGATTCTCAGAAACTCATCTCGGATGAAGTACTTGGCCTGGGTCACGCATGGGTCCTCTCCGAGCTCGGGAGTAGCATCCTCAGGAGACGCGAGTGAACTCTGGAAAGTAGTCCTCAATCTTCGATTTTCCAGCAAGGACTTTCTCTGCGAGCAAATCTTGCTTGTTGAGGAACAGGATCACAGAGATGGTGCGCAGCCATCTGTTGTTCCGAATGTTCTTGAAGAGGTTAAGAGCCTCCTGCAGACGGTTGGTCTGGTTGTCCTCCCGGATGACCATGTTGTAGCTGCTGCTGGCCACCAGGAAGATGATAGCAGTCACATCATTGAAGCATTGGATCCACTTGTGGCGTTCATCAATTGCCCTGGCCACCCACGTCAAATATGTGGAAGTTGACTTTGTACACCTGGAACTTGGTCTTAAAGATTCCAGAAGTCAGGATGCCGGAGTGAAGCAGGTCCTGGTCACTTGGCACATAGCCTGCTTGATGACATCAATCTTGTCCAGGAACTACTGGGCACAGTCGATCAGCTGGTACTCATTGGAGCGCTCATAGCAGGCCTGCACTCCTTCATCCTCCCACAGAGCCTTGGTGTGCTCGTAGAATTCGGGAGGAAAGTCAAAGTCGGGCTTGTTCATTACACTTAGAATGTAGTCCACTCTGAACTGCTTCTCAGGGTTGGCCAGCTCCGCAGGGGGCACCAGGTTGCTCACGGCAGCTACAACGGTTTCAATGGCCTCCTTCAGGTTGTTTTTGATGTCCTGCTCTTTGGTTGTCTTCTCACCATCGCTGTTGCTCCTTGCAGCCTGTGGGTCCTCTTTGCTGCCCTCTCCATTAAACCCATTAACATGCAGGATCCTCATTTGCTTCACAATGATGCTTTTACCAGATTCTTCAGCACATGTGAATGAGGTGCACTCACACGCAAGGCAGTGCCTGCTGGCCACCTGCCGCTGCCCCGCGCGGGGACAAGGGTTCACTCCAGTGGCAGTGCCGCAGCCCCGAAGGCAGAGAGTGAGCCAGTGAGGGAGCTCCCGCCTGGGCAGTCACCCCGTGGTGCCAAGACTAAGTGTCCCTGCCGGGAACAGCGCTTTTAACCGACTGATGACTGGATTTGCATATATTAAACCAACCTTACATTCCTTGGATAAAGCCTACTTGGTCATGCGCAAGTTTTCTAATGAGTAGCTGCAATCTATAAGCTAAGATCTTGGTGAGTATTTTTATACGGATATTCATTAGTGAAATGGGTCTATAGTTCTCCCTTTTAGTTGGGTCCTTTCCTAGTTTTGAAATCAAGATGATAATTTGCTTCATAGAATGTGCTGGGATGGTTCCTTCCTTCTCAGTGTCTTGGAATAGGTTCTACAGAACATTTACAAGCTCATCTTTGAAGGTGTGATAGAATTCGGATGTGAAGCCATCTGGTTCTGGGCTTTTTTGTTGGAAGCTTTTTTATTGTTTCTGCAGTCTCAGTACTTGATATTCATCTGTTCAAGAAATCTATTTCTTCCTGGTTAAGTTTAGGAAGATGGTGTGATTCCAGATATTGTTCCATTTCCTCCACATTGTCACATTTCTGGGCATAAAGTTTTTGGTAGTGGTCAGAAATAATCTCTTGTATCTATTGTTTTAGTTGTTATTTCCCTGTTTTCATTTCTGATTAAGATTATTAAAAATTTTAGTTTTCTATTTCTGGTTAATCTGGCCAATAGTTTATCAATTTTATCTTTTCAAAGAACCAACATTTTATTTCATTAATTTTCTGAATGATCCCTTCATTTTTAATTACATTTATTTCTGATTTAATTTTGATTATTTCTTTCCTTCTGTTAGGTTTGGGATTAGATTGCTCTTCCTTTTTCATTTCTTTAAGATGATTGATGAGTTTGTTGGTGGGTTCTCTTTTTGTTTTTTAAATGTAGGCATCTAGTGC